AACTAAAACTAACTTACTAATAGAAATTAATAGTAACTAAACTACTTAGTAAGTTGGTTTCGGGTTAGTTTGTACATTATTGTTATTGACGTAACTTTATTTTTAAACATTTTATTAGGTGCGCCTTGATGAGAAGAACACACGCCTAAAATTTCAAGTGATTTGGATTTGTAGAAAAAAATAAAAATTCAAACACGAAATGAGGTTGTGACTCCTTTAATTGGCTTAAATTCAATCTGGGCCGTTGGGCTCATATCTTCCTGTTAGCCCAACGGTGAACAGTAGCATCTTCCTTATATAATATATGTATATATATATTAATTATATAACACATAGTAGTATATAAATATCAAATATTATATGATTCAATTACATTAATAAAATAAATATAAATATATAACGCATATAATATAATGTAATACAAATTATATTATATATATAATTTATACTATTATCTATGTTTATTATATCATATTATATACATATTTTATTCTGTATTTATATAATATTTGTAATATGTTTATGTATTATACTGTAATATTATATATTTCCTGTATGTATATTATATATATTATATATAGTATATATTAATTATATAATATATAGTATATAAATATCATATATTACATATATTATACATAATAAAGATATATTAAAAATAATACAATTACATTAATAAAATAAATATAAATATATATTACATATAATTAAATATAATATAATGCAAATGATATTATACACTATAATATATAGTATTGTATATTTATATTATATTGTATTACTATACTAAATTATATACATTATATAATATTATATATGTATATTTTTATATAATATGTATAATATATTTTTGTATTGTACCATAATATTATATATTTCCTCTAATGTTATATATTGTAGTATAATATAAAATAATATGTTATTTATATAAAATATTATATATATATATAATATGTTAACTATTATTGCAATATAATTTATATGTAAAATATTATAATAATATATGGAAAATTGTTTCATGCGGGTTGGACCGCATTTCCCCATGTGTGGTCTAGAAGTGTAAAGCATCCATCTGAAAGATGGATGCAAGTAGGTGGTGCACATAAAGACAATGGAAACTAACTGTGCGAATGTTTTCTTAATAAAATTATTTTTCTAGTTTTTAAAATTTATTTATTTTTCATATTCATGATCTCCATATTATTGATTACATGTCCTTAAAAAATTAAGTCAAAAAATCCATCTCAGAAAGAGATTTTTAAGCGGCACCGCATTTATACATGTGCGGGTTTACCCGCATGCTAACTACGTCCATAATATATTATATTGTAAATAGTAAATAGTGAATGGTGAATTGTGGGTCTACATGTGAAAACAAATGCACAGGGAATGTTTCCTCACCTCAATAGTTGTGGTTTTATTTTGCAATGAATTAGACCATTTCATGGTAAAAGCTTTTACCATGGTATTTTATTTGCATATGCATTTGCACGAAGCAAATGTATGAAACACGATTTACGTAGGTAAATATTTTATGCACGAACCAAACATACCCTGATAGAATCTTTTGGAGTGTAAGATATCTATACATATGGATACAATGGAAAGGAATAAGAAAAAAATAAGGATTTTATCTTAGTTAAGGAATAATATTGAAGTTTGGAATTGAATATCCCTGGATTCACATATGCAATTGAATATTCATGGATTCACATCTT